TCAGATGCGGCCGCGAAGTTCAGGGTCGCCCTCGAGCAGCTGGCACATGCGTGGAGGCGCCCTCCATTTCCCACATCGGAGCCGCACGAACAGATCGCCGGGCGCCCGCTTGCACATAAAAAATGTGATTTGGGGGTTCGGAAGTACGCTGGCGACTTGACCTGCGAGCGGGCCGTTCCTAATGCTCGCGGCGCCGCGGCGATGGTCGCGACCTCCGACCGACTCTTGGGCGCGGGTCTCGGCTGGGTCGGGCGGACTCGCTCAGAGTCTTGAAAAAACAAGGCCGCGGGCCCGTGCTTTGTCGGAAGAGGCCCGCAGAGACCCGCGAGGGCAGTGCGTTGCCCTGGGGCCCCGATTGCAGGTGAAGTCCAGGCCGCTTCGGCACTCCTGGATGCTCGCACCCATGCCTCGGGAAGGAATGGCGGGGAGATTCGTGCGCGACGTCTTGCAATGAGGTCTGGTTGGGCGGGGATTGGGCAGTTCTGGAGAAGATAGCCTTTCTTCGATTGCACGCACCTCGTCTTCCAGGACAGGGTGATCGGGGCGGCCGTCTCGGGCCCCGAAGCGCGAGTGCCCGCGCTGGATCAGGCAAATGAGCAAGACTCCGCTGCCGTTCGGCACGCCAGCGCATTGTGCCGGGGGGGTGCGGCCCACCGCCAATTGATCGAGGGGGGGGAGGAGCGATGCAGAGTCTGTGCGGAGGCTGCGTGGGAGAAGACCTTGGTGGCCCCTTCCAGATTTGAGCTTGTGGCACGACGTCTCAGACATGTTTGAGCTCTCGCTCGCCGACCCCGCCAGCGCGCTCCAAAGCTGGCCGCCATCTTCGGGGGGTTGCTCTCGAGAGCGCGGAGCTCCGGCTGTTCTCGCGGGCCCCGGCGTTTGCCCGGTTGCCCCAGGGGCGACCCCGAGGGGGGCTGCGCGAACCCCGGAGCCCTGCAGTTCAAGAGAGATTTGTCATACCTCGGGAGGCTCGACGAGGGGCTCGAGTTCCTGGGCGACGCAGGCTGCGACTCGCTGATGGCATTCCATGTGCTGCGCGCTAAGTTGCGCAAGTCCAGCATGCAGAGGCCCCGAAAGTTCTTGTTAGGCCCCGATGATGACCCCGACCAGGCAATGCGCGGACCAATGGTGCTGCGAGGGCGGGCACTTGCGCTCGCTCATTAGCAGCGACGGACAACGCGGGGGAAGGGGGGCACAGGGAACTACATATTTTCACTTAGTGCACTTTTACGAACCAGCGCCCTACGCGTTCCTCCATCATCGCGCGCAGGCTCACGCCCATCATTCGCATCGCTGCAGCATGCCGACATGGAAGGTGCATCGCATGCATGTCTACGCTCAATAAGCCTGTTGTTCTACCGCAGCAGTTTGTGCCCAGACTCCGAGTGCGTGATTGAGTCTGCTGACCTGCCTGCCCTCCGCGGCGCCCGGCGCAAGTGCCCCCCCCTCAACCGACGCCTCGCGCCGCGGCTGCAGGCGCGGCGAGCGGCCATCGAGGGCGGCGAATCGAATGGAAAGGAGCAGCGGAGAGGCGGCATTTCACGCGGCCGGCAGGCGGGCTACAGTTCGTGCTCAGACGCAGGCGCAGCGAAGAAGAAGGGCCCGAATAAAGGGGGAACGACCGAGCTCGACTAGGAACGGAAGGACATGAAGGCAATGCAGAAGTACTCTCCAGTCAGGATGAACACGCATGTTGTACATAGCGCCACCGCAGCCCCACCTGGAGACGAGCGGGTTAAAGACCTGCGCGACGTCGGCCGGCTTCGAAGGGGCGATGAAGAAGCAGGCCCGTGGCGAAGCTTGGGTGAAGGCAGCAGAGGGACGCCGCGCGGCATCCTCGAAGTTCGACGCGGGCAAGAAGATCCAGGAGATGGGCGAGATATCGGCGGCGGGCCACGCGGGGGCGTTCGAAGGCCTTGTGGCAGAAGGCATAGCAGAGGGCATAGTCAACTAGCTACAGCTAGAGGAGCCCCGCAAGCAGCACAGCGCGACGACGAGGCAGGAGATGGCCGAGCTCGTCATGCTGGCAAATATCACGGATCGCCACGAGGAAGGCGAAGTTGGCACCGAGCTTCGCTACGCGGCACACCATGGCGCCCGCACCCGCGTGCCAGGTGCAGATCGGCGCTTCCACAAACAGGGCACCCCTCGCCCCTCCGCAGCACATGCAACATTGCCCTGGTGCTGATTGCCTCCCCTGCTCGCTCTAGGACCCTCGCCTCTCCTTGTGCTAAGCAGCTCGGTGAGGAGTTCCAGCTTGTTGTTGGAGGCCAGGCGGTGGGCAGAAGGTCTCGATCACGCCGTCCTGCGAGCAAAGGTTTTGCGGATCGGAAGCGCGCGAAGCTTTCAGGTGTTCCGAGGGGCCGGAGTGCCGTGGCTGGTCCCGAGGAGCCTATGATCCCTGTAGTGATCAGGGGTTTGGGGAGGCAGGTGGTGGGCGGAGCTCCTTCCAGCACCCAGGGGTTTTCTGCAAGGTGGAGCGGCACTGAGATGAGTGCGGCTCTGCGTTTCGTTGGAGGCACCGCGACAGCAGCAGAGCTCTCCTCTGCGGTGAGTCGCGATAGTATCTGGCCACGCATCGCAATCTGATGCTCGGGTCTAACTCGGTCGTAGGGGCTGTCGTCGGATGGGACTCTTTATTCGCCCCCGAGGGCTTCTGATCTGATCCGATCGTCATCATTATCCTCCTCATCATCATAATCCTCATCACCATCCTCATCATCAGCAGCAACACCATCATCACCATCATCACCATCAGCAGCTTCATCATCGCCTTAACCATCATCACCATATGCAGGATCAACGTGACCAGGGTCATCATCATCATCATCATCATCAGCATCATCAGCATGACCAGCATATCAAGAACGACAGCCGTAACACCATCTGTTCCTCCTTCTCCTCCGCCTCCTCCCTCCTCCTCCGCCTCATCCTCCTCCTTCTCCTCATCCTACTTTGAATGCCTTGCCCCCCCCCCCCCCCCCTCCTCTGACCCCACTGTGGACACCCATCCGCAGGCCGAGAAGGCGTCCACCAGCGAAGACGAGGACGAGGAAAGGAGGAGAAGGAGAAGGAGGAGGAGGAGGAGGACCAGAGGAGGGAGGAGGAGGACGACGACGACGAGGAGGAGATTGAGGAGGAGGATCAGGAGGAGGTCGCGAGGGAACGGGAGGACGGAGTGGAGTAAGAGGAGGAGGATGAGGAGGAGGAGAAGGAAGAGGATCAGGAGGAGGAGGAGGAGGAGAAAGGTGAGTTCGGTCGGTTGAGAAGCACGAGCGGCTCAGTCAGGTGAGCTCTTCGGGGGGGACAGCATCAAAGTCAGCCAGGAGGAGGACGAGGACGAGGACGAGGACGATGACGAGGACGAGGAGGACAAGGAGAAGAACCATGAGGAGGACGATAACGAGGATCAGGAGGACAAGGACAAGGACGATGAGGTGGACGAGGAGGGGGAGGAGGGGGCAGAGGATCAGCAGGACAGGGAGACGGGCGACGAGGAAGACGAGGACGAGGATCTGGGGGAACGGAGAAAAGAGGAAGAGGAGAAAGAAGAGAAGGAGGAGGAGGAGGAGGAGGAGGAGGAGGAGGAGGAGGAGGAGGGCCCCTCCTCCAAGGTGGCGGAGGAAGCGTTCCGCCAGCGACTCGCGAGAGCGGGGGCGCTCTCGACGCCGGCGGGACCGGTAGGGCGCCAGGCCCGGGAGGGCGATCCCCGCCCCTCGGGTGCTACCAGAAGTGGATATATGTGTGTGTGTGCGCGCGCCAAAACAAATCAACGGAACGCCGACGTCGAGCATCTGCATCCGCGCGCAGCCAGCCAACAATATCTTGCGCATATACAACAATCCCCTAATTCTGAGGAGCTGGCGCTGGTTGGGGTTCTGGCGGCTATGTTGTCGCCGTCGCCGCCCCGTCACCGCCTCGTCACCGCCCGTCCGCGCGTCGTCTGAGCCTGGTTGTCGGTCTGGCGGCTATGTTGTCGCCGTCGCCGCCCCGTCGCCGTCTCGTCGCGGTTTCACACTACTTTGCATTGGTTTGCATTGCTTTTCACTGCTTCGCATTACTCTGCAGTTTTCTGCATTGCTTCGCATTGCCTTGCGTTGAACTGATTTGCGCTGTTTTGCATTGCTTTGCCTTGCTTTGCGCTGCGTTGCGTTACTTTGGTGTGCCTTGCATTGCATTGCTTTGCATCGCTTTGCGTTGCTTTGCATTGTTATGCATCGTTGCGTTGCTTTGCGTTTCTTTGTCCTGCATCGCGCCAAATTGCATTGTCTCGCATTGCTTCGCATTGCTTCTCATTGTCTTGTATTGTTACGCATCGCTCTGCACTGCTTGGCATGTATTTGCGTTCCTTGGCATTGTTTTTTTTCTTAGCTCCGCATTGTTTTACATCGCTCTGCACCACGTAGATTGCACCACCTAGATTGCACCGCTCTGATTGCACGCACCACATTGACTGTACCATATTAATTGCACTGCGCAGAGTGCGTGAATTCATTGTTTGGGGTCCACGGTGGCTGACATCTCTACACACTTCTACGCGCACAGCTGAAATGACAGACATAGAAAACGGATCCAGGACAGCTCTGGGCGCGGCCAGGGAGGCTGATTCCGGAGCACCCCATGAGGGCCAAAGACGGCCCCATATGACCCCAAGAGGAGCAGGAGGAGGAGGAGGAGAAGGAGGAGGAGGAGGAGGAGGAGGAGGACAATTCTGGGCGCGGCCAGGGAGGCTGATTCCGGAGCACCCCATGAGGGCCTAAGACGGCCCCATATGGCCCCGAGAGGGCCCTGGAGGGCCCCAGAAAGCGTCAGGAGAGCCCGACGAGCCAGGGGGGGGACGATGCTCCTGCAGATTTCGTTTGGTGAGGAGGAGGAGGAGGAGGAGGAGGAGGAAGAGGAGCAGGAGGAGGAGGAGGAGGAGGAGGAGGAGGAGGAAGAGAAAACCTCTGCTTCGGTGGTTCACGATGGGCCCAAGATGGACCCAAGATGGCCACTTCCGTAGCCATTTTGGCTCAAGCCGCGCCTGGCCCGAAGTGCGACCTCGGGAGCAGGGAAGGGCGCCCGCGCCCCGCCCACATGGCGCGCAACCTCCCTGCCGGATGATCCGCGCGCTCTCGTCGCTCAGGGCACCGCTGGCACCGGGCTGCCACGCGGTCTGCGCCGCCTGGTGGCGGCAGCCGTTCTCGAGCGATCTCCCGCGCGGTCGCTGCTGTGGCAGCCGGGGCGCCCTCGCCTTCAGTCGCGTTTGCCTGGGGTGCGACGGCCGGGAGCCACTGGTGGAGCCGCTGGCGGGCTCGCACGAGACGGGCAGGCACGGCGGCTCCAGGTCCAGTTCTGCCACCTCGTGCGTCACGAGCATGGCCTCGGTGAGGTCGGCGGTGGCCCAGATCGTGTGCAGAGGCTGCCATTTCCTGCGGGCGGTGCTCACCACGCTGGTGATGGGCGTTCGGCTGGGCCTGTTCTCGCTGCTGCTCTTGGTGCCCTTCTTGCGCGTGGGGCGCAAATACTTCGTAGATTCTCGCATCTCCCGCGGGATCCGGTTCGGGGCCAGGCCACGGCAGCTGCTGGACATCTACTGCCCAGAGGGCGCCCCCAGTCGCGAGTGCGAAGGCTACCCAGTGGTGGTGGCAGTGATGGGTGGCGCGTGGGTGATTGGTCACAGGGCCTGGAACGCGCAGCTAGGGCAGCGGGTCATGGATGCTGGTGCCATCATGGTGGCAATCGACTACCGCAACTACCCCTTCTCCTGCGTGGCGGACATGCTGGAGGATCTCGACGCGGGGCTTGCCTGGGTCTTCCAGAACGTGGCCTCGTACGGCGGGGATCCCACCAACGTCGTACTGACCGGCCAAAGCGCTGGCGCGCACCTGACGTCCTTGTTGCTGCTGCGGCGCAGCCTGCAGGAGGCCCAGAATGAGGCCGACGATCCGGAGGCCGCGGCCGCCTCGGAGGCCGCCGTGGAGCGGCTCGCGGCAGGCCCCCACGCCGGCGCGTGGTCGCCGCGGGACCTGAGGGGCTACGTGGGCGTCTCGGGCCCCTACTGCATGTCCGCGCTGGCGCAGCGCCTGGAGGCGCGCTGGCTGGGCTCCTGGCTGCTCTGGCGGGTCTGCGCCGGCAACCTGGACGAGTGGTCACCGCTGGCGCTGGTGCAGAGCGAGGCGTGGCGCGCGGTGGGCCCCAGGGCCGCTGCCGCCCGGCTGCCCAAGATGAAGCTGTTCCACGGGGCGAAGGACAAGACCGTCCCCGCCAGCAGCTCCGTGGAGTTCGCGGCGGCCCTGCAGCGCGAGGGCGTACAGGCCGAGGCCGATGTGAGACTGGAGCTTCACCACGCAGACGTGATCATTGAGGGGCCGATGCGTGGCGAGGACTACCAGATCCAGCTGCTGCTGCCTTTCCTGCGCCTCCCGGGCGGCGCCGTCTGCGACGACTGGCTGCGCACCCTGCCGCCGCTGCGCCCGATGTTCCCGCGGATGGTCATCAGGCTCGCATCGAGACTGATGCCCTTCTGACGCCCTTGGTTTAGGAGGAGGAGGAGGAGGAGGAGGAGGAGGAGGAGGAGGAGGAGGAGGAGGAGAGAAGAAGGAGAGGGAGGAGGTCGGGCCGAGCTGCAATGAACGGTCCTCTGACCACTCGTGGTCCTTTTGGACCGCTTTGTTTCATGATCTTGCATGCCGCTGTGGCGCGTGGGGGCGTCCCGCCTGCCTCTCAGTGAGGCCACGCCTTGCTTGCGAATGCGATGCCCCCCCCCCCAAAAAAAAATGGACCCAAGATGGCCACTCTACGGCCACAGGGGCTCCCCACGTGGCCACAAGGGGTCCCGAAGGCAAAGCCAAGAGGCCCCCAGGAGGCAAAACATACGGTTTTCCGATGGTTTTGGTGACATTTTCCGGAGATTGATAAACCTCCTACCCTGACACGTCGATTAGTGAATTGGCCGTTTTTGGTTCGCGAGAGGGCGTCGCGGCCGTCAGTTTTGCGGGTCCAGGTCCGTCGGTTTCGGTCCCAGGCCGTTTTCACTAAGGGGAGGTCTACTAAAGGGAGGTTTGTCCACCGCCGAATTTCGGCATACTCGGCCTCTGGGTCTCAGGAGCGCTCGAGACGGCCGAAGAGGCTCCAAGATGGCCCACTAAGCGCCCCAAGAGGGACCCAAGACGAGCCCAGGACGGCTCAAGAGGGGCTCAAGACGGCCCCGAGACGCTCCAAGAGGGCAGAGGGACTCCAGTCGGCCCGGGATGGCCCCAAGCCGGCCCAACAGGGTTCTCGGCCCGCCCCACAGCGGCCCCAAGAGGCCCACAAGATTACCCAGATGGACCAAGACGGCCTCAGAGAGACACACGGCCTATGAGGCCCCCAAGACAGCTTCAGAGCGGCCTCAAGAGACTCCGAAGAGGGCGCGCTCGGGACCATGCATTAGTACGGCGACGGTCAGAAAATCAATACGTACATACATCTATCGGAGTGGTTCCCGCTCACGCAAATCCAAATTCAAGTCGTGCGCGCGTTGCCTGCTTCGGGGCAGGCAAACGTCGTCGCCTTTACTATAGCATTATTGTTGTTATTAGTATCATTATCATTATTATTAGTATTATTATTATTATCATTATCATTATTATTAGTATTATTATTATTGTTAATACTATTGTTATTATTATTATTGTTATTATTATTGTCATTATTATTATTATTATCAATATTATTATTATCATTATTATTATTATTATTCGTCTTCTTTCTCTTCTTGTTCTTCTTCTTCTTCTTCTTTCTGGTCCGGGGGGCGGTCAGCGGGGCCCCGCCGGGGGGGCTCGCGCGCGCGGTTGGGGGGGGGGCCCACCGCGGGGTGCCAGGAGCGCCGCGAGGGCGCGTCGCCGCGGGGCCCACGGGCGGTCCTGGTCGTGTGGGAGCCCAGGGAAAGGGGACCGGGAGCCCCTGCGTGGGGGGCCCACGACGATGGGCCTGTTTTCCACCACCACCACCATAAGTTGGAGGGGGGAAAGAGGAGGAGGAGGAGGAGGAGGAGGAGGAAGAGGAGGAGGAGGAGGAGGAGGAGGAGGAGGAGGAGGAGGAGGAGGAGGAGGAGAGGAGGAGGAGGAGGAGGAGGACCCCCTCCCCCTCCACCTCCAACTTATGGTGGTGGGGGATGGAAAACAGGCCCGTCACACGACGTCATGGGGGCCCGTCGCGCCGCGGCGCCCCAGGGTGGCATTGGTCTTGGCGCCGCGGACATGCAGTGCTGAAAGATCAGAGTGAGGCTAAAACCTCGGCGCCTACGGCGGGCTGCTTCGTTGAAGGTTCCGTTCAACTCTTTCCAGTCGTTCGTCCAGGGGGCCCGCGGCGTCCTGGGGGCCCGTCGCCGCGGGGCCCACGGGTGGGGCGCCGGTGTTGCTTGCGCAAAGATGCAGCAGCACGGGAAGTAAGAGAAGTCGGCGCTTGCGGCGGGCTTCTTCATTGAATGCTTCGCTTGACTTGTTTCGGTCAACCGTCCGGGGAGGCCCGCGGCATCGTGGAGGCCTATTGGTGGCGCCAGTTTTGGCTGCGCAGACATGCGTGCTCAAAGTTAAGAGTCGGCGCCTGCAGCGGGCTCCTTCTGTTGTTCAGTTTACAGCGTGTCGCGCCGACAGCACAGCAACCACACACTCTGGAGGTAATGTGTGCATGTGTATATATATATATGTATCAGACTGAGGGGGCCGACCGGTCATTCACTGTCCCTGGGTGCGTGGCTGAAGTGGGCTTGCGCGGAACGGATTGCTACTGTTGTTGTGGTTGTTGTTGGTCATGCTTTTGTTATTGATGATGCTGTTGTTGCTGCTGTTAGTTATGTTGTTGTTGTTGCTGTTGAACTCTCATTTTTGAAAAATAATTATTGTTGATCCCCCCTGTCTGGTGCGCATTGTTTTTTTCGATTGAAGTGCCCTTCCCGGGGCTCGCACCTTGTTTTTATCAAGGAAAGTCTTGAGCGTCAAACTGTGTCGTTGGCCCCCAGTTTACAACAACAACGGCTCCCGCCTGAGACTTCCTTACAATTTAGCCAGGACCCCCGCTGCCGCCCGAGACTTCCTCGCATTTTATTCCGGAATCGCGCTCTCGCTTGGGACTTCCTTACAATTTATTCCGGAATCGCTTTCCTGGCGCTCTGGAGTCGCGCTCTCGCTGGAGACTTGCTTGCAATTTACTATAGAATAACGCCCTTGCGTTGGACTTTCTTGCAATTCACTCGAGCGCCGCGCTCCCGACACCCAGGCACCCAGGAGTCGCGCTCACGTCCTTCACAGATTACCTAGGAATCGGGATCTCGCTGCCCTTCGTGGTCCTGTTGCAGCCCTTCGTGGCCCCCTCGCTTTGTTTCGTGGCCCGGTTGCAGCCCTTCGTGGCCCCCTCGCTGCCCTTCGTGGCCCCGTTGCAGCCCCTCGTGGCCTCCTCGCTGCCCTTCGTGGCCCCGCTGCAGCCCTTCGTGGCCCCCTCGCTTTGTTTCGTGGCCCCGTTGCAGCCCTTCGTGGCCCCCTCGCTGCCCTTCGTGGCCCCGTTGGAGCCCATCGTGGCCCCGCTGTCGCCCTGCAGCCCTTCGTGGCCCCCTCGCTGCCCTTCGTGGCCCCGTTGCAGCCCTTCGTGGCCTCCTCGCTGCCCTACGTGGCCCCATATATGTATGCCCTTCGTGGCCCCCGCTCGTTCGCGCCCGTGGTTGTCCCATGTGCATGCCCTTCGTGGCCCCGCTGTCGCCCTTCGTGGCCCCCTCGCTGCCCTTCGTGGCCCCGTTGCTGCCCTCAGTGACCCCGTTCCTGCCCTCCGCGGCCCAATATACGTATGCCATTCGTGGCCCCCGCTCGTTCGCGCCGGTTTTGGCCCCATGTGCATGCCCTTCGTGGCCCCGCTGTCGCCGTGTGTGGCCCCCTCACTGTCCTACGTGGCCCAGTTGCTACCTTCAGTGGCCCCATAGTTGCCTTCTGTGGCCCCGCAGTATCTGCCGTTCGTGGCCCCCGCTCGTTCGCGCTTTTCGTGGCCCCATACGCATTCCCTTCGTGTCCCCGCTGTCGCCCTTCGTGGCCTACTTCGTGTCCTTCGTGGCGTTGCTGTCGTTCTCTCTCGCTCTCCCCTTCGCTCGCCGTCGTCGTCGCCGTCGTCGTCGTCGTCGCCGTCGTCGTCGACGTCGCCGTCGTCGTCGTCGTCCTCGTCGTGGTCGGTCCCCTGTCCGTTCCTCTGGGGGTCGGGTCGACGGTCCGCGGCCGCCCCGCCGATAGGCGCTGCCGCTAGCCAGGCCGACGGTCCGCGGCCGTCCCGCCGCTTGCCGGGGCCCGGCCTGCAGGGAAGAAAGGTATACCCCCACGAAAAGGGGTCCGATCGAAGACGGAGAGGACGGGCATCGAGGGCTTGGGAAATACGCGTTATTGGACACTCGAGCAGATAAGGGCGAACAGTCTTAAAATGATTGTTGTTGTTGTTGTTGCTGCTGCTGCTGCTGTTGCTGCTGTTGTTGTTGTCGTCGTCGTCGTCGTCGTCGTCGTCGTCGTTGTTGTTGTTGTTGTTGTTGTTGTTGTTGTTGTTGTTGTGGTTGAACTCCCATTCTTGAAGAATAATTATTGTTGATCCCCCCCCACCGGTGCACATTGTTTTTTTTTTCGATTGAAGTGCCACCCCCGGGGCTCGCACCTTGTTTTTTTCTCAAGGAAAGTCTTCCTGCTCAAACTGTGCCCCTGCCCCCCGGGCTACAACAACAACGGCTCCCGCTTGAGACGTCCTCTATTTTTACTCAGGACCCCCGCTCCCGCCTGAGACTTCCGCGCAATTTACTCAGGAAAGGCGCTCCCGTCTGAGACTTCCTCGCAATGTAATCAAGACCCCCGCTCCCGCTTGAGACTTCTGCGCAATTTACGTGGGAACGGCGCTTCCGCTTGAGATTTTTTCGAATTTTACTCAGGACCCCCGCTCCTGCCTGACATTTCCGCGCAATTGACTCAGGAACGGCGCTCCCGCCTGAGACTTCCATGCTATTTAATGAGGACCCCCGCTCCCGCCTGAGACTTCCGTGCAATTTGCTCAGGAACGGCGCTCCCGCTTGAGACTTCCTCGCAACTTAGTCAAGGCCCCCGCTTCCGCTTGAGATTTCCTCACAATGTACTCAGGACTGCGCTCTCGCGTGCGACGTCCTCTCAAATTATTCTGGAATTGCGTTTCGGCGCTCAGGAACCACGCGCGCGCCAAGGACGCCTTCACAACGTGGTATCTTCCCTCTTCCTTCGTCCTTCCCCCTCCCCTTCCTCCCACTCTCCCTCGTTCTTCCCCTCCTCCTCTTGCAGGGCCCGCGCCAATTCCAATGGCGGGCAGAGAGATGTACGCCCCCGAAGGATTGTCCGCCCGTTCCGGTTTGCCCGTACGTCTAAGCCCGCCGGCCCCAGCAAAGAGAAATAATCCCCCCGAAAGGGGTGTGATCGAAGACGAAGAGGGCGGGCATCGAGGGTGTAGGGTATACGTGTTGAATGACTCGCGGGCAAGTAAGAGCGCACAGCCTTAAAATGGTTGTTGTTGTTGTTGTTG